GACTAGTAGGTGTGTAGTGTGTTGTGGTTGTGTGGTGGTGTGGTGTGCTGTGAAGAAGGAGAGTGGTTGAGAGATGGATGTGTGGTGTGTTGTGTGAGTAGTGTGTGTGTGTGTTGGTGTGTTGGGGAGTGTGTGTGGAGTGTGTGTAGAATGTGTTTGTGTGTGGTGTGTTGGTGTGTGTTGGTTGAGTGGTGGGTGTGTGTGGTAGTGTGTGTGTGGGTAGTGGGTGCGGGTGAGAAAGAAGGGTGAGTGGGTGTATGTGATGTAATATATAATTATATATATGTATATATACTATTAGATAGAAGTATAGTATAGTATATATATATGGATATATATAGTACTATATATATATATATATAATATAGTATATATATATTACAATATATATTATTAATATATATAATAGTACTATATATATATATATACTATATATTATATATTAATATATAAATTAATTTTATAATTTATATATTTGATTAAAGATATAGTATAGTATATATATCCATATATATACAATGTGATACTATCTATCATATCTATCTATCTATCATCTATCAATCTACTAGTCTATCTATCTATCTATCTATCTATCTATCTATCTAGTCTATCTATCATATCCGAGCATATCTATCTATCTATCTATCTAATCAGTCTATCTATTTTATCGTATATATATCTATCTATCTATTATCTATCTATCTATCTATCGATATATCTATAATCCTAAGTAATGAATTATATATATAGAGAGTATATAATAATATATATATATATAATATATTGATAGATAGTATTTGTGTGTGTGTGTGTGTGGGGGTGTGTGTGGTGGTGTGGTGTGTTGTGGTGATGTGTGTGGTTAGTGCGTGTGTGATATAATATCAAATAAATAAGGATAGATGATAGTTAAGGATAGGGAGTAAGAAGCATACATATACAGCGAGCACACACATACATACATGATATGAACATTACAACATGACATAACATACATACATGAGTGAGTAAGATAGTAATATAGATAGATAGATAATAGAAATTAGATTAGATAGATAGATAGAGATAGATAGATAGAGATAATAAGTAGATAGATAGATAATAGAAACAATATATGGTATATCTTATTATATATACATACCATATATAATATAGTAGAATTAATATATATAGAATATATATGTATAAGTATATAGTATATATATATATACATACATAGTGAATAATTATATATTATATATATATGATATATATATAGTATATATATATATATATATACGAGAGTAAAATACATATATATATAGATATATATATGATACATACAGAGTATAATATGATATATATATATATATATATGTATATGTAATATATAGTATATATATATATATAATATATATAATATATATATATATATACATATGTATATATATGTATATCTATGTCAGTTTGTATGTTTAGTGGACACATAGATTTATGAGAACGATCTATGGCGCAGAGAAAGAGAAGAAAGATGAAGAAGAAAAAGAAGAAAACATCAGTCTCACCCTATTGCCCTCCTTAATAATCCATCCTTCCCCTTCCCCCTTCTCCCCTTTTTCCCCTCTATCCTCCCTTTCCCCCCTCCCTCCTTGCCCTGCTTCCCACCTCCATCGCCCCACTCCCCCCCTTCTCCCCATTTCCCTTCCACCTCCCATCCCCTCCTTCCCCTCCCCCCTCCCCCCTCCCCTCCCACACCACCCAAGCCCCCTCCACCCCTCCAAGACGCGCTTAATGGCCCCCCCCCCCCGCCGCCCCCTCTCCTCCCCCGAGCTATTTGTTTCAGAGATCCTACGCCGTTTATAAAGATGCAGAAGTCACGGATTGCTCGTAAAAGATGATTAATGTCGCTCAGTTGCGGGCTGGACCTCTTTGGCGGACGGAGAAGGCATGACGGAAGGACCTTGGGGGGAGGGGAGAGGGAGGTGTGAGGTGACGCGAAAGGTAGATGGGGGGAGGGGAGAGTTTGAAGGCCGCGTGACGGAAAGGTAGATAGGGTAGAGTGGAGCGAGGGAGTGAGGGAGGGTGAGTGGAGGTAAGGGTTGACGGAAAGGTAGATGAGGTGTGCGGGAGGGAAGAAGGTGATGCAGGGAGGTGATGGAGGAGTCACGATTGGGTGAGAGCCCGGAAAGTTAATAGGGGGGCGGTGAGGAGGGAGAGGAAGGAGGTAGGGCGTAGAGGGTAGGAGGTGAGCAGAAATGGTGAGGATTGGAGGTGTGGGGAGTAATAATTATATAGGGTGAGTTTGAGCGGCTGGTACAGAGGATTGGGTGGGGGTTGGCCGGTAGGAGTGTAGTGAAGAGGCGATAATATTTTGATGTGTAAGGGAGTATCTGTTTTTGTTTTTGTTCGCTCGATTCTATAGAGATATAGAATTGTAATAAGGTTACGAACTGCTATAGAAGTGCATTGTGATTCTTTCTGTTGAAAGCTGCATCTTGTGCCGCCCAGTTGCGTATCTCCATCT